ATAATACAAGAAGTAGCAGGTGAAATATCCATTTGCATCCACTTACAAGTGGAAATTATTTTTTATTTCTGAAGAAGTTACTAATATCAACAAGTTGAATGGGGAAAAAAAAAGACAAAAGGCAAAGAACAAGAACCAACTGAGCTATTGGTGTAATACTGGAACCAACTTCAGGAATGGTCAAACACTCTTGAAATAGTGCTGATGACTAGGAATACTGAGAAAAAGACAAAAGAATAAAGGAGGTGAAAAAGACAAAAGAATAAAGGAGGTGAAGGAAATGATTTAAGTGTTCTAGGTAGACTTACATCTGTATATAAGAAACTGCATTAGCACTTTTAATGACATCATCCAGACTGCAAATATTATGTCAACAGTTACACATAATAATTGCAATAAGCTCACAATAATTAGCTTGCTGGTTCTGCTTTTAGAAGAGGTCTGTTTGGCAAGTGTGTGCATTTTTTCTCCTGATTACTTCAAGTAGCCCAGAAAAAAAAAAAGAAAAAAATGAAAAAAAACCCCTCCTCTACAAATCTAAAAGGTTTTGTAGAAAACTCTTTTAACATACATATATAAAGAACTGTGTCCCCAAAAGGTTCTTGTATGCCAGTGAAGAAACACATGCACATTCAGTAAAATAAAGTATCTCCTTCACAAGTAGAAACCATTTCACAGCTGCTCTGTGTCAGAGAGGCACTGAAGCATGAACACTAGAGCACAATTGTTATTTCTCACATTCAAGAAGTTGGAGGGGTGTACAACACCAGAAGACATCAGGTCTGGAGTATACAAACAGAAATACATTATTTCCCTTAGCATTTAATTAAATTGTAGGTCCCATTACTACAGGGTGCTGTGAAGGACAAATAGGTTCTAGGAGATGAGATGAACTCAAGAGGACAAACAGGTCTGTCACAGAACACTAAACGCAGCTGTTAGAATACAGCTGGGCCACCGAGTATCTAGAAAGCTGTCAGCTGAAAGCTGGTGTGATGTGCTTAAGAAAGGATCACTTTGTACATGAACCCTCTGCAGCTATTCCTTGTTTCATAGGAGACAGGACACTAGGGTTGACATCATTCCTCATCCAAGAGGGATGCTTTTTTATCCACTGTTCATTCTTCTATGGAGGCAAGTCTGCAACTACTGACTTACTGATCATTTAGGATTCTAAAATCTTGGTTGAAAAACTTATTCTCAATCAGAACACCTATAAACTCAGAGATTTTTTTATATATATATATTGCACTGAAGTTTGAGCAATTTGGGACTGCTTCAGATCCATTTGAGAAATTAGGAAGTAATGGGTTCTTGAGAACTCTATCACCAGAAGCCAATTATTCTATGGTCAAAGAATTTTCTTAAATCTGTGCAATAACTTCATAAAAACATGTCAGGTGTACACCATTCCCATGTGTTCAACATTCTCTGCCCCTGCCTGTAAAATTAAATATTTCTCTGTTCTTTTCCATCATTAACATAAGTCAAAGTTACAGATGAAGGACAGAAAAACACAGAGAAGGTATAAGAGCTGAATTGCCATCACCTCTGCACTCCTTTGATAATCCTGATACCTTTTCTTGTAAATTTGAGCTTCCAAAAGGACGCTCATCTCATGATAAATGTGGAATTGCTGCTTGTTTCAGGCAGCATTCCATACTCTACACTGCATGTACATGTTTACAGATAATTTGTTCCAGGATATGGCTAAAGAGTTCCATGTGATGGCATAAAAAAAAAATTACCACATCTATAGAACAGGAAAGCCACACTACTGTTAACAGTCTTACACCAAATGCAAAGAAATCACCTTTCAAGGTTTCTCATCATAATTGCGTACATTTGTATTAGTTATTTTGTCAAGTCTGTGCCTGTAGCTGGAGTGTGTGGAATGCAGAAAAGTCTTTGTGACAGTGAAGTTTTAAATTCTGCGAACTCATGAATGGGATTTTCTTAAAGTCTGCCTAAATCTTATTATTCAACACCTAAATATCAATTCACAAAAATAAAACCTGATTCAATTAAAAATTCCCTACAACTCAAAAGCTTTTGTTCTGGTAATCTTTATCTCCGTAAGAAGAGGATACTAATTCTCCTAAGAAATTAAGTCTCCCAAATTAGAGCAAGAAACTGGGTTATTAAAAATGGGTGGGTTTTGTTGCTTATTTTTTTTCAAGTTCCATCATTTGTAGTGCAGCTAGAAATCCTTGCTTTCAGAAATAGATGTCAGAGGCAAAATAGTGAACACAGCTTGCCAAAGTGAGAATAAAACTGAGTTTTACAAACCTTATAAGAAAAATGCTGTTTGCAGAGAAATGCAATTTTTATATTCACTTCCTTTAAATTAATGTTAATAAGCTGCTGAGACTTTTTTTCTTTTGCAAGTCACTTCTTCATTCTGATTCACACTTTTGTCTTTAGACTCGTTTGTCTTCTGAGGAGCAGCTGAGGAAACTGGGATTGTTTAGCCTGGAGAAGAGGAGGCTGAGGGGAAACCTTACTGCTCTCTACACCTACCTGAAAGGAGACTATAGTGAGGTGGGGACTGGGCCTCTTCTCCCAGGTTACTAGCAACAGGATGAGAGGAAATGGAGTTAAGTTGTGCCAGGGGAGGTTTTAATTGGTTATTATGAAGAATTCTTCTACTGAAAGAGTGGTGAGGCACTGGAACAGGCTGCCCATGGAGATGGTAGAGTCACCATCCCTGGAAGTGTACAAAAAACACAGAGGTGGCACTTGGGGACATGGTTTAATAGTCATAGTAGTGTCGGGTGATGGGTGGACTTCACGATCTTAGTGGTCTTTTCCAACCTTAATAATTCTATGATTAGGTCATGAAAACATAAGGTAACTAGCTACACGCACTACCTATAGATGTCTGACTGTTTGTCACTGACAGCACAAAAATAACACAACAAATATTTAAGCTCCACACAGTACTTTTTACTCTGGTTAAAGTCAATAAAAATAGTTATGCACGTTCTAAAATACTTTGCCATACACAGATATATAAAACACCATTAGAAGGCCCAATATAATTCTTAGAATCCAGTATTTTTGGTAATAAATTGTGTTGCCTTTCTGAGGGGAATTTTATGCAGACAAAAACCTGAAGTATGTTATAGCAATGCACTTTTCATGTATGTTAACACACAGAGACTCTGATTGAAGAGAGTCCGCAAATGAACCCAAGATTCCTGGAGCTGCACTGACAATCTGGACACTTCTTCCAATAGGTTGGGCTCTGATGAGAGAATCTTAAGATGTAACTGAAAATGAAAACACGCAGTTAGTGAAACAGATAGTAACATTTCCTCATTCAGTTCCAATACTTTGATATCAGGACTGTCCCAAGTAAGTGAAGAACTCTTTTCCTCTAACTAAATCCATCCATTTAATTCTGCCTCTCTTTTGGTAATCTTTTACATGCCATTTTACTTCTACATATATTAGATAGGGTAAGGCAGCCAAATGTCTTAAATATGTTACTGCTTTACTAAATCTGCTGCTGCTGTTGCTGAATCTATCCTAATCACACACTTCTCTAGAGGGTAACTTTCTCCACTTTCTAACCTGCATCACAAACTCCTCTTTAGGCTAGAGAGGCTAAAGAGATACCCTGAGGTCAATCAGGACTATTATTTTAATTACCTGTGTTGCATAAAGCAAAAAGAACCACGCCAGCACACTCTATACTGATACAGGGAGACGAGGTCTCTATGTAAGAAACTGCAGCCTTGGTAAAGGACAAAGAAAAGAAACATCTCAAATGTAGAGAGGCAATGCATTACTATCACTTAATAGATGGAACAGTTATTTGCCTGCTTAAACTCAGAGCTGTTTAACTTGGAACCTACAACAAAATACATTGGTGTTCATGTATCACAGGGTGAATTTATATTATTCTACTGTAGTTCAAGATCAGGAGCACATTTCTGAGGTAAACTACCTAGCTGTCCCTCTTGCCTACCCTGCAAGAGCTCAATTTCTCTTGTATGAAAGTAAACAGAAAGATGAATTCTAACATCTAATATTGCAACTAGTAACCATACCCAGTCCATGGGACCAGACTAAGAATAAACAGACATGATAAAAAGCTGCTGGTGACTGAATATCAAGACCTCAACTCTCAGCGTTTCAATCTACAGATCTACTTGTATTCATCTACACCAGCTTGTTCTTCTGGAAGCTGCCCCATGCATTCTATCTTAAATGCAGCAAAAGCAGAAGAGCAAGTCATATTTGTCAGTCATGACATTATTTTTGAAAATAATCCCTCCAATATTTTTGTTAATAAATATTCAGTTAAATAGACAATATTACATGTGTCTGAATGTTTATAGCAACTTTTTCTGGGTAAACAAATTAATTTTTTTCCCACCGTTTCATAAATCAGAGTACCTTTACAAGGTAAGTCTTTGTACATCAGAGAGGTTTCAGTCTGCTTCAGAACCACTTTCTCTCGAAGAGTAACTGCTACTGTATTTTATCACAATAACTTTCTAACAACCACACAACTGGGAATAACTTCATTAGTTCCGTGATGCTTCACAGGCAACAGAAGATCGGCAGCCCACCGACATGGAAAGTGACAGTCAGGCTTGCAATGGCTAGTGCTACACCCAACAAAATGCCTAGTTTACCTCCCCAAACGCTGTGCACTGAATTCTTTTCTTACTTAAGACATACCATAGCTTAGCTTAGCAATTAACAACTATTAAGAAGTTAAGTATGTTACAAAACCCAAACAACTCTAAGTAACAAATACTAGAATAAAGCCTGTCTGGCGTGGTTCTCTTCACAGGATCTGGTTTTTGCAAGTTTTTCTTGACTTTGACCAGATGAGATGTCAAATTATCCAGTACATTCAGCTAGCAATTTTAAAACTACCTGCAATAAAGATCACTTAAGATAATCCTTTCACGCAACTTACATCCTTTTAGTAGGCAACCATAATTTTACACAGGACTAACAAAGTTTTATAAGAAAATCATTACCTTTAAAAATAATGCAAGGTATGCCTGGGCAAGTTCAAAGTTGTACTTCTTGTTCAGCATCATCCCAATCATTCTCAAAAAGCTCACCATCACCTCCACTGAGCCACCACCTTCAGGGGCCAAGCTCCTCAGTTCTATTTCAATATTAGATGGCCCCAAGCTTTTCAGTAAGTTAAGCGGAGCTGTGTCTGTGTTGAAGCAGAGGGACACATTATCAATGACATTGGCAGAAAAGAATCTTACAAATTCATAAGCAGTGATTCTATGCTTCAAGTTTCTACCGTTTCCTTTTTGTTTCCCACCAAATGCCAAGCTTTTAAATTACTGTCCCATCATATACTACAAAGACATACATCTCTAACAAGACAGTTGCATTTCTAAGTTCACCTTGAGAAATACAAATAAACTCTTCGTATTTGTTTCACTTTTTTCCCCATTTCTGTCTTTTAAGAAGCAAAAAAATTTTATTAACCACACAACACTGTCATTTTACACCTCTTGGCAAAAAGAACGTATATACTTGGGACCTCAAGCTGTTACTGCAAATATATCCTAGAAGAGACAAGGTACTACTTTCATGCAGAATCTTTACAGTGTTTACTTTTATTGACAATAAGCTAAAGTGAAGGATCCACTGGTACATCTACACTAATAATTACTTTCGTTAAGTGAATTCCTCCTGCTCTTCCCGAGCCCTGGGGAGGGTAGGGGAAATATTTTCCCTGGTAGAGATACATGCAATTTACAGTCTTTTTATTCCTCATCACAAATGCTCTTCCCTCAGGATTTCTACAGTCCTAACTGATCTTTGAAAATTCCATCCATTTGCTTTAAGAATGCAGGAATAAGAATACAGTTGCAAACACAGCCGTTCATAAAAACATTTTGAAAACATTTTGTCTTCTAATTAATATTTCTTTTTCTAAGAAAGGCACCTTCCTTAAACTTTTCTATCATGATAACTAACAGTATCAGGCATTGGCTAATGTTTCTTGGTATAAATCTGTTTTCAACTGTATTTGATTCCTATGAAAATCATTAGCTAGTTTTAAATGTGACTGTGATTATTAATGGAACCAACCAGGTGCATTAACTTATTTTTGTGCTGTGACATTAGAAGACCAAGCATGGAACATACTATGAAGTTGGCACACATACAATATGGAAAAGGTGCACAGCTCAGCCTACGTTCCACAGTTCTGATAAGAGGTATGAAACCCTGCAACCATCCCAATAGAATGCCAGGATGGCTTCTAGTATAATGCTATTTATTTGCATAGAGCAGAGTGACCTCTAGAAGAGATGCTTGCAAACCAGCAAGCACAGAGCCGCGTTACACTCCCGACTCAGGGCCAACAGGCTGCTTGGACTGGGATTACAGCAGAGCCTGAGGCACAGCAGGGAGGTGGCCTGAGGGAGGCCCACAGGACCACTGATGCAATGCATCATGGAGTGCACTTGGTCCTTGGCACAAGCAGCCCCTGGGTGCTGGCTACATTTTTAAATATTCACCTGATGCTTCATTAGTGTCCAAGCAGCACCGAAGCAACTTATTAGGATAGTAGCAACTGAAATACTGAAAATACAGCTTACAAACCACACGTTGTTTGTGATATAAAGTTCTGCAATCAAAATATTTTAAAAGCAGTTGGCTATATTAGCAATCATTCAGAAAAATCTAAATTTCAATGATTCTGTAGGAGCACAAATTAAACAGGGAAAAGAGCAGGTACATGCCACAAGTAATTTAAGTAATGGAACTGAGTGCAAAAAAAAAGAACTAACAGCTTGGTTTTGTATCAATTATTTCTTCTTAAGCCTTTAAATTACAAAATCAATCAATTAAAGCTCTGTTTGCTACACACATTAACATAAAGGTGATAGATCACTGGAATGGGTTGCCTAGAGAGGTGGTGGAGGCCACATCCCTTGAGATATTTAAGGTCAGGCTTGATGAGGCTCTGAGCAGCTTGACCTAATTGGAGATGTCCCAGCTTATTGCAGGGGGGTTGGACTAGATGACCTTTGGAGGTCCCTTCCAACCCAATACATTCTATGATTCTATTTAGCAAAGCAGACCTCAAAAGTAGAACTGGCTAAGCAAGTTAAGTTTTTCATGTTTCAGTGAACCACCAGACTACTCCTTACAAGATCATTCCCTTCCTTTCATAACGACAAGTAATACACAGCACCTTTTCTGGATGAGATCAACATAATCTCCAAAAACTCTGACAACCTTAGGAATGTTACCTTCTTTCTCTATGTGGGTTTTACCCAGAACTGGGCTTCATTCTGCAGCCAGCCTGGACTACCACTCTATCTCTGACCTAGGTTGGCTATCTATGTATTAGTCAGTTCTATGCATAACAGGTCATTCTTTTTGCCTTTGCTACTGCACTGTGCATGTTTTTTTCCTCACACGTTACAATTCTGGCATTAGAAAGCAGACATAGATCAAAATATTATTTTTAGTAATCTACATTTCATCTACATATCATCTACATTTTTAGTGAAATGTCTTGTTAACTTACATTCACTCGTGCTCAGGGCTTCTTCAAGACGAATGCAGAAATCAGATTTCTGTGCTAGCACTCCAAGGTTTACTACCTTTGACTAGACCATGAAAGTATAAGACAGTGTACATGAGTATGCAGGCATATTTTTACATCTCAATTAGATACTTTTTCTACTGACAGAATAAAAGACTTTAAGAAAAAAAAGTATTAATGTAAATGTGTTAAAACTTTTTTTTTTTTGGTGGTACTTTTAAAGTCTTTAGCAATATTTCACTCAGCACTAAAAAGCATTTAAGAATTTTCTTTTAAAATATATTAGATAAACACTATTATATTGATTCTTAGTTTTACCTGCACATCATTTTCTTCCTCTGGAGCGATGTATCTGGGTATAAGACCAGGAACTGTTGGGATGAAGAAGGGGGCTGACTTGGGTACTTTTGGTGGCTCTCTTGGTTTATTCCTTTTCTGTTAATTAGATATTTGAATTAAAATTATCATAATAGTAAGAACATATGGAAATTTTGTCAAGAGTTTTAAATAAAATATTATGAAAACTGGAAGCACTAACTGAAAAGTAAATACATGGGTAGAAAGCTTTACCACTAAATATGAAACCACTACTTAGAAGACAAGCAGTCCCTCTCCTAAAGCCCAGAAACTGTGGAAAATACCATAGTCTTCTATGGCAAAATCTGTAAAAATACCTGAAAAGTAGGATCAAATCTTGTGATCAGGTAAATGCAACCCATAGAACAAGGGCAAAAACATCCGGCTGTATACTAGTATTTTTTTCAACCTTCCCCTTTTTCTATGGTTATGGGAATGCCTGCCAGTGATTTGGATGCATAACCTAGGACACCTTTACAGGTACTTATTAGCTGCAATGACATTGAAACACCTTCCTTCAGAGAGCTGTTCTGCATGTTGCAAAGATCTTCATGGTGAAAGTTATGAAACATTTCCTCCTCCTCAAGATTCCTTGAACATCCAAGAGAATGGTAAAGACTTACGTCTTTTACATTACAGGAGTAATAGCCCTTATTTTACCTCCTTCTTAAAAAATAAACCCCAAATACTACAGCAGACGAGCAGTGGTGTGCCTAATACCATTACCTTGATAACGTCGAGACTGAGGAGATTTTTCCACCTTGATTCTGGTAAGGATGAAAGGGTCACCAGCTGCTCTCCCAGTTGCTCAGGTGAGACATATTCTATCATTTTATCACATGTTTCTTCATCTTCTGTGACAACCTCATCTTTCAAGAACAGACATCTTTTATGACAATATATACATTTATTTTAAAAAAAAAAAATCAGAACAATATGATTTCTTTTGCAGTTTTTGAAAAATTTGTGCATAACAGCTACATATATGTGTGCTATTATAGTATGTAGCTGAAAATCTACAAAAGCTATCTTTATTAACCCAATGAAATATTAAATTTAAATTCAGAACTATTATAGCTAAAATGCAGAATAGGAATGACAGGATTTTAAAGACTAACAAGATTTATATACTTCAGCTGAAATTATACAGAAGTAATTTATAGAAGTCCTAAAGGAAGAACAATGGATTGCTTATAAATTTTGTTAACTATTTCAAAATAAACACAGAGCAATTTTAATTATCACTTAAAAATCCATAAAATCTTTGCATTTATATACACACAATATTCAGAACCTTTTCACAGGTAGGACTGAAGCAGCACATAAAAATTAAAAAAATCTCCACATTAAAGCACAGCACCACATGGCAAAATATATGCAGTCTGTCATTACATTTTCTCTAGTCTTCCTACATGCTTTTGACCAAGCACCCTTCCTTTTTGCAAAATATCATGTGGCTGAAGCCATGAATGTGATAGAAAAGCCTAAAACAAGGAAACGTAAACCATCAACAGCCCTGAGAACGTCAACAGGAATTGACTGAAGACAGTGAATTAAAATGTTCAGTCAGAATCAGAATCGGTTTATTATTTACATATATAT